CATTCGGGGCCAAACCTTCAACCCCTGACACTCCCCAGACCACAGCCAGTGAAGGAGCCGACTCCTGGCCAACACACGAGTCCAGTGTCACTGAGCCCCCGAGCTCTGGGCAGGGGCAGGCTCAGCCGTGGGGGTCCCCGTGTCCCCAGCCCGCAGCTGGCGGATGTGCTCATCCAGGAGAGCTGTGAGGTACGCGGGGCCGCACTGGAGCAGGGAGGATGTCTGGGAGGGCAGGAGGGCCAGGGCCCCCACCGTCTGCCCCTGGGAGGCCTCCAGTGAGGGCAGCTTGGCAAAGTTCTCCACTCCCTGCCTGCTCAGGATGGTGTTGTCGATGCAGGCACCTGGAAGAGAGGAGCGGAGCTGAGGACGGGTGCTGGGGTGCCAGAGCCAGAGCTCTTTCACCTTCCACGAGAGGAAAGGTTTGTTCCTGCAGGAAGGACTCCCACCCCTCGCCGTCCTTGCCCTCATTTTTAACTGATGACAGTGACCCCGCAGACACAGCTTTGTTGACATGGGGCACCGTGAGTGCCTCTCCCCTGCACAGGATGAGAGCCCCGAGCCCGGTGGCAGTGGATGGGGGCACAGAGAAGGCTCTCACCCAGGAGGTTGACCTGCGGCACTCCCTTCAGCACCCGCAGCATCTCCTTTGCCTTCGTTTCCTGGCTCACCAGCAGGATGTTGCGTGCCACAAAGAGAGGGAGAAGATTCTTGTACTTGGACTGGGACAGCACAGGTCTGATGATCTGGGGGAGACAACTCTTAAAAACGCAGCTTTTCACCCTGGCAGGCACCGCACGGTTGTCCCACCTCTCCTCCACCTTCCCCCCAGCAACCACATCAGGATTTATCCCGGCAGCTCTGTCCCTACCTCATTCAGGACAAACTTGACCTCAATGTTATGCTTCCGGAGGTAATGCCTCATCAGCATCAAGTCCTCGTCGGGCATGGAGTTGTACTGGCACACAGCGATCATCCGGTTGTCCCGGAACACCTCCTCCACCTGCCGCCGCAGCAGCCGGGCGTACCCGTTGTCCTGAAGGGAGCGAGCAGCGATGGGACACGGGGAAGGGGCAATGGCTGCTACCTCCCCCAACTCCAACCCTGCCAACAGAGCTGCTGCTGTGAGATGCTGTCATGGATGGTGGCCCCGCACTTGGATTACCAGCTGGGGCATCTCCCTGTCACCCATAATGTGACAAAAAGGGGCACCTCAAAGAAGCTCTCTTACAGGAGTCCTTGCCTTGCAGGGCTGTCCCGGAGCTCTGCAGCACACTCGGTGGGGGCTGCAGACCCCGTGTTAAATCCCCAGAGCAAAGCACACACACAGGGCGTGCAAAGCCACTCGGTCTCCTCGGCCACCGAGGTCTCACAACGGCCACACACCACAAAATTACCTCTTCCTTGGGCGCGTCCGTCCTGGGGGGCAGGCAGCGCGGGGGCACGGCCGGCCGCGGAGGCAGGTACTCGGTCACGGCCATCAGCTTCTGGCGCTGGAAATGCATGGCCTTCCAGTGCCGGGTGACCGCCTTGGAGCTGTGGCGGACTAAGTGCAGGGCGGGCAACCAGCCTGCGGAGAGGAGGCACA